AACCTTTCACAGATGCCCAGATAGCAAGTACTGTATCTACAGGAAAGGTCACAGTTAACCCACAGGACTGGAAGAGATGTTCGTCATTTTGGACGACGATAATAATGACAATAAAAACTCCAAAGTCGGCCCCCTACCCTAATTTCCATACAAAGACCACACCAAAACCCCCCCCCCCCCCAGCAAAACTAAAATGAAGTAAACCACGTGATTATATGAAACAGTTTCCTAGAAAAACATCAAAGCTTTCCACATTTGTGGGGTAAATTGGGCACGTTTTCTATTCAGATGAGCTACGAAAAGTTTGCAGGGGAACGGAGAAGTCCTAGTAGCGACGAATTCGAGGTAGACGACAAAGCAGTATCTTTTCACGCTCCAATTCTGTTGGAAGAGATGGCGAACAGAAATTTCGAAGGACCTCCACACGCAACAACTGGATCAAGTAAGACGAATTGTTTGCAACCAGCTCGTGCTTTTAATCCACGGCAGTAGAGAGACTTGGCTTCAAACGTCATGCTTAAGTTAAATTTAATTCCATCAGCTGATCATGAGTTTGGCAAAGCAGTAGCACGACGTTTGAAATTGTCCTTAGACGCAGATTATAAATTTCTTGGCGAGGGGTTATCTTTCATAGTATGATTCAGTTTGTTGCGTTGAGCGACGAATCCCAAGAGAAATATTCGTTCTTGATAAGCTATCTGATTGGAATATGAAAGCTTATTTCATCATGGATTTTAGTGAATCAGTTCTTCAAGAGTTATTTCAATATATGATCGTTTTGTATAATTAATAGGCCCAGTTAAGACTAACTTTTCATGTACTTAATTCAATGTATTAGGTTCGGCTCATGAAAAGTTCGGCGTCTAAACAGGGTTTAGCTTTTGAAATTTAATACAGCGCGAAGGCTTAGAATTGTGTGTACAAAATGCACTGCGTTTTTTCTCGTTTCCTCATGCAGCCCATAGTGATGTGAAATTCGATTTGCAACCTTCCCGGTAATATGAGACTTGAAATACCCCGGTGCGCGACTCACATCAGTCTTGACATTCAGTATTCAAATAGGGAGGTCAAACAAACACGACGGTGACGTTTGAAAGAAAAAAAAAGTAATAGGTTTAATAAACCAAACAACAACTCTGCATCTGCACTTTCAGTCCATTTTTGGTCATTTTTGGTGCATTTCTTTGCCGTGACTGCACACCTATGACGTGAAACTGCCTAATTTCAAGTTTCAAGGAGGAGTTAAGCTCTAAAAAAGACTATAAATTGTTCAGTATTTCCCTTTGTTGTGAACTTGGATTAGGTTTTTTAGTAATTCAACTCCAGGAGAGTTCTCCGAGGATGGGCCAAATGTCTGAGCCAGTCAGAACAATCGATATGAATATTAAGAGAACGAGAATTTACTTTCTAAATGATCTTTTCACTGCCGTTACCATAGAGGTTGCTTAAACTCCATAATAACTGGCATGATATTCACACTATTCACAATATATTAACACTGATTAAGCTGCATAAGTCATATATTTTCTATTTAATTTCCAGTTGATATGGACTTTCTAGCCTCAATTGCTCCACCTGTAATGAGTCAACCCCAGGCCTTTTCAGATGCCATGTTGGACCCTGCCTCAAGAGGCATAATGACTGGACTAACCACTGCGCACATGAGTGGTACAACCCTGCAAAGTGTTGTTAGACAAAGCGCTGATCAACTACAACGTACAGTACAGGGCCAGTTTGTTTCTCTGAAGGTCAGGAATACTCTGACAACTGATTCATCAATAGTGTTTCCCAGCCCCAGGGGCTCCACGCGCGTGCAAACAGAGCCCCTTATCTAAGAAAATTTGGTTACCTATCAATCCAAGAAATTTTGGCTGTCAACGTGACAGTACATCCACCCGCCCTCCCGTTCATCTGCACCACAGAGAAACAAATGTGAAATGTTTCACCTTCTAGCTAGTGTGAGCCAGCAAAATGATATTGCACATCCATGTTGTATTCAATTGACAGTTGTCAAGACAGGGTATTCGCTGACTAGTATCACATGACCGTATCGAGGGCTCAGGGTCGACCCATTGAGGTTACGAATTCTTTTGAAAACATCCATGTTGTATTCAATTGACAGTTGTCAAGACAGGGTATTCGCTGTCTAGTATCACATGACCGTATCGAGGGCTCAGGGTCGACCCATTGAGGTTACGAATTCTTTTGAAGTTTACCGCTTGCAAGTTTCTTGTTCTCAACTGATTGCAGGCTCAACACTAATTGGATTTCTTTATTGCAATGTTTGTTCATTGACGAAGGCTTCGCCTTCAATAATGTGGTAATCGACCAGTGATGTAATACTAACCACTAATGTAATAAATATCAACCACTAATGTAACAAAAAGTTAACCACCAATGTAATGACTTTTTAACCTTTAATGTAATAGAAAACTTAATCATTGTAAATGTAATAACTTTCGGCCATTAATGCAACAACCTCAAAGAGAAGAGCTACTTGGTGGCATTTGAATTGTTATATAAATGCTCATTAACAAAGACTCTCTACAGTGATACAGAGTATGTACAATGACCAACACAATATAATACTGTTCTTACTTCTGGGACGTGTCCCAACTTGTTCTATGATGTCAAAAGACAGATTTTTTTAACAACAACTAAACCATCATGGAAAGATATCCTTTCTTTTTATCCAGTTTCATTAGTGAATCGGAATGCATCTGTTTCAATTAAAGCATTTTGTACAGGAAGCCTGAAGTGCATGCATCTATAGCATAAATGAGCATGGGCTGACGCAAACTGAACCAAATTTTTGTCATTCTTTGGTCCTTCTTGTCAGTATTCAGGTCGAGGTAAGGTACATGTGGACCTGTTGCGCGTTCATAAGGGTAAGTTGTATTTATCGTGATTGTAAATCTGGTGGTGTGCAAATGCATGGTAAATAGGGAAACAGTGAACGTTAACGCTTGTGCTTGCAGTCGCTGTGGAGGCTCTGCCCAGAGTTCAAAACCCTTACCTTTTAAATAATACTGTTCGGACGCAACACCACAATTTCTTTAGAAACTTAAACATCTTACCTTTTTGCCCTACCATTTTACAAAGAAAAGGTATCCATCTCATGCATATAATTTCAGTGTCAAAAAAATGTTTGGTGCCCTTTTTGGGCAAAGCCCTGCTATGTAGAGAACTAGAGGGAGTCGCAGTTATTTACAAGGTCACTCACCATCGTCACTTTCAAACTGGAAATTAAAACTTCGCCACAAGAGTTAACGTTTTGCAGTATTTTTGCGCCACTATACGTCTGGCGTCCTAAATTACTTATTAGTCTCGCTTGCGTCAGCAGCGAGACTCATAATCTACAACGCGTTTTTCGTGGTATTTAGGACCCAAAAGGGGAGTCATTGTGCCAGGCGTTCCTTGCGGAGGCCGTGGAAACTGGGGCTAAGAATCGTTGCGTGACCGAAGCCACGCATGTTTTGCGAAGAAAGCTTACTTTTCCGAAACGTGTCGGTCCACGAATTCTTTTGCTTAAAAGCGTTGATTACTTTGAAACAAGTGAACACTACTGAGTGGTCGAAAAAAATGAGAATCTTAATTAACGAAACTGCGATGGGCGGGTGTTGTAAACTTTCATTTTATGCAATTGGGTCTTGTCATGAACATGCGATTTATTTTCGGCTATGATTGAAATGACGTGCCATGTAAATCACCTTTTTGATCTTTGGCAATGATGTAATTTCTCTGGAATCGAGGCCCTTGAATTTTCGTGTATTTATACACGCGTATAGCCTGCGGCAGACGTATTTCGTCGCCAACACGTACTAAATCAATTCAGAAACAAAAAGTATCGACGTCGATAAAGTAGGAAGTAAAAAACCTCTCGAGAGTAAATCCTGTTTCGTGTAGAATTAATCGCCTCCTCATTTCTCGATCTAATCTCCGAGCAAGCGAGAGTGATCGCCGCTGAAGAGCGTTTTTGTCGCATCAACAAATCAAAGCTGGAAGTCGTAAAATTTTTTTTGCCGTGTGCCATATGATGATATAAATCCTAATACAATCCTAATAACCAATCAGCCGTTCTCTTTGAGTTTTTGGTATTTTTTTTTTTGTTGCATTAAAGGTTAAAATGTTATTACATAAGTGGTTAACTGTTTTATTGCGTTAGTGGTTGATATTTGTCATTTCAATGGTTAGTATTAAATTAGTGGTTGGTTTTTGTTACATTAGTGGTTAGTATTACGTTAGTAGTCGATCATTACATTAGCGGGTGATACCTTTAGCCTCGGCTAAATCTATACTAGGCAATTCACTCATATTTGTCATCTCGCAAAGCACTGCAGCTATAAGAATGCTCACTGGTGCAAATAAGTTTGTCTGTTGTTTAAACCAAACTATAATGACTAAATTTCAGCAGTTGTAATAATAAAGATGCGATTTTGGAAATAACATATTTCCCCACTATTTACTGTACAATCTTTTACACAAAATTAGTGTTGAAGTTCTTGCATATGTGTAAAAAAAAAACACGGAGTGATAAGTTCTTTACTGCCATCTTGATTAGTTAGTACGACTTCATCGTTTAATTATCATCATAAGAAGCATTTTATATTATCAATTTAGTTTGTAATTCAGCACTTCTGTAAGTTATCGATGACCACAAGTTTGTCATTATCTCATTTAATACCATCTTCTTTTTTCTTCTTTTCTTCCCTTTCTTATGTCCTTTATTTCTTGATAATCTCACTGGTCGCCTAGCCTGTGTATCTCGGCAATTTTATAATCCAAGTTTCTTCCTCTCGCTCTCTCTCTCTCAGGGTAATATGAGTTACAAAGATCTCTTAGCAGGGCTCATCTTTGAAGGTGAAAGTTTTCAAGCCTTGAATAACTTCACATTTATGAACTACACCAACGTACAATTCTGTGATGACGCTGGCACACCATTGAGCCAGCGTAGCGGAGGGATTTGCCTTTTGACAAACAAAAGGATTCTTTTCTTATCCTCACAGCTTACAGTAGGTAAGTACAACTCCCTATTAAACATTTTTGTTCTATATTTAGCTTTTAAAGAGCTTTGGACCATCGACATTAATCCAAGAAATGCAGCCATGCTTATGTAATAATGTTAATCAATTGTCACTGCTCTTGCTAGAAATGTGCAAATTGATCCAAATGTACAAAAGCCTTTTTGTTGTATATATGGTAACCATGAAGAAATCTCTTTGTCCGCACGCTCAGGAAGTCAAAGGATGTGAGTTTTCATGAAAAAAATATTCAGAAAATTCTGCTTGACTTGTTTAGAAAATAATTTGTTTAATTTTTAATAATTAACTAACAGCTCACTGATTTATTTTAGGGCGACCAACTTGGAGGCCCGGGCACCCCAGCTAAAATGTTTGGGAGACCAAAGGGCTCCCTGAAAATATTATTTGGGCGACCATCTAGATCTTTTAGGCCTGGACACCGCAGCTAAAATGCTTGGGTGCAAAGGGCTCCCTGAAACGTTCCCTAGGGCACAGCCTTGCAGCCCTTTAGTTATTGGAAGTATGATACATTACATGCTATTGTTGAATGTGGAGGACATTAGTAAAGGGAATGCAAGTCTTAGTGAACTACCCCATACTCTCAACATATATAGTGGTAATATTGATGTAAGTTTTGTTTTGAGTAGCAAAGGAACCCTTGTGTGTAACTCATCTTCTAGTGTATTAGTCCTTAGCAGAACGTCTCCGTCTCTCTTGCACACATTTGTTGTTGATACACTACTCGACTTTCCGTTGCCATTCAACATACCCGTAATTCTTACTTACACCCACACACGTAAACGCCTTCGGGCGTCTTCTTCTTTCTCTTTAGGTTTGAACCTCTTTGGCGTGTATGTTATTTCAAGGGTAGGTCACACTTGCCCTGGACAAATTTCTTCAAATTCACTTGCAGACGTTCACATAATTTCTGAAAGAATTTCCCTTAAGAATATCATACAGTATAACCTACACTGGGCGGAAAACAAAACATGCAAGCTGAAGAGATCTAGTTAAAAACTGGGTTGTAATTCAGAGACCTTCATGATAGATTAAGGAAACGAATAATAAAATCCCAAAGTATGGAGACTCCCACTAGCAGTGTTATAATTTCTTTTGTGTTTTTGTTTTCTTTAAGAAAACTGGTCGTTTGACACTTGATGCCTGTCAGATTTTCCATTTATAACCAACCTCGTCCCCAGGGTCCCACGAAAAAAATGGTGAATCTCTCTTTATTGATACTTGTCAGGTACGTCCTTGGCTCAATGGGGCAATCCAAAGAAACTGCCAGGAGGTTACTCTCTTGCGTCATCATGTAATGACACCACCTACTACTTACCCATTCCCCTGCGCTGTTTACGCAGTGTCGAGATGTCTGGGGAGACTGGAGTCCGGGCAGATTTATCAATTCATGGCGTCGCACCTTGTTGCTGTGGATGGTGTGGCTTGTGTGGGGTATGCAAATTAATTTGCCAATAATAACTGCGGTTAAGTACGCCTTAGTGTACGGAATTAAAGCTGACTGAAATATTAAGCGCGAAGTAAAATGCGTTTGCCTTCCTTTAAGGTACACTGACGTCCATTATATAAACTTCCTGGTACTTGAATTTCCATTATTTTACCCAAAAAACTCCGGATCCAGTCAGATGGAAAGTAACAGTTTACTTGATATATATCAAAGTATACCAGTGGCTTTCAACTTTCAAGGGGAAAGACTGTTTTATTAAGAAAAAGTGGTTCTTTGTGTTAATCACGTTAAATTGCCTGATGTTGAAATGTTACTATCGTCGCGTTATATGTCCTCATTGAGAGAATTTTTTTTTTTACTTGAATTCGAGTTCGTTGTCATTAAGTTATTTTCTAATGCCTTTAATTGGTAATAAGGTTCAATCAATGAGACTAAGGGCGCTTACCACTTGTCAGAACTGCCAGACCCGTCCATTTGTTAAAAGACTTTCAATTAGAACTGTCCAGCAGATCAGTCTATTCCTAAATATTATGCGTGGCAGTGATTGGTTTTTAGCCAAAATTCACGAGAAAAGTTAAGTTCATTCTCAAAAGGACCCGGCCGGCCAGTTGACTGACTTTTGGAAAGAGTTTTCATTTGCACTCATTAGTTTTGCAAGTACAGGGTAATAAAAGTGCAATTTGAAACATTTTGTCGATTATCCTTATAAAGTAACGTTCAACAAAATTTTGCTGGAACATTCACGAACTTCAACTGAATTACTTAATACATCAACATTATGAGTGTAATTTCGCAAAAATGCCGGCGGTTTTTCGTTTCAGTGAAGTTGACGTTTTCGCAAAAAGATTCGTTATAGCGACGAGACTTTAATTTGTAACTCAAAATACACTGTTTTGTAGTTATGGGGATGCTGTGGAGACTCTGGTGCCCTAAAGCAGTGGAGGCCACAGCCAATGAATCGCACTCAAGTGCAAGAGATGTTCGTGACTGTTGGACTTTTGATGCCACCCTGGGATCGCAAGATGTTTCTCAAAATTTTTATTGATCCAAATGTTCCTCTGCCTGTCACCAGAGATTTTGTTGCTATACTCCAAAAGAATTCTCCAGGCTTGTGTTAGATGCATAAGGTACAATATAATAAATTTACCTGGTTTTGACTTATTAAGCCCAACTTGTTTTGTTGGCGTCCAAGTTGCAGTTGGGTGTTGGGCAAGCTTGGGCGGCAGCACTAAAACATGGAATCCGGAAACGGAAACACAGACGGAAGCGGAATACGGAATCAAATATCAATGATAGAAAATTAAAGAATTTCACATTGCATAATTTTGTACAATCCAAAGAGAATTTGTTTTAGTTTTCTTTGCAGTTCCCTTAAGTATATTCTTGTTAATGTGTCTTGATAAGATTGAAGGTCTAGATCCGCCACTGCCACAGTTCCGGTGTTTTAGCAATAAGTTCAACTTCTTCTTCGGCAAGCTGAATGCAGATAGAATACTGGAATAATTGAGTTTGTGTTGAAGTCCGCATTTTACGCTGAAGAGGCTTATTAAACGTAACGCATTATCTTGATGTAATCAGTTGCGGAATCAAGCAAATGCATGCACAATTCTCTCTTCTCTTTGGGCTCCATAATACCATGGTTCTCTTGAGTAAGTTGTCTTGATAAATAAAACTGAACACTGTTGAAGACAACCCAGAAAAGACACCCAGAAACAACTTAACGACGACGCCTTTCAGTTAAACTTACCTCTTTCTAAAGAAACTAGTTATTGTCAGTGACGTCTTCTCAGCTATAGTCCCCCCCCCCCAAGTGGTACGAAGAGTCTTTTCACCGGAATCGACTCCTCTAGTTATACAACAGTCTCCTCTACCCAGGTATAAATTTATTCATTTATTTTTATTGTCATTGCTAACATATTTTTTTCAAATCGATCGCCTTGAACCTTCTTTCACGGATTCGGTATTCCGTTTCCGTTTCTGTTTCTGTTTCCGTTTGCGTGATTCCGTTTCCGGATTCCTTGTTTTAGTCCTGCCCAGCTTGGGCAAGTTGAAAATCGAAGTGTAATTCCTGAGTGCTACGAAGTCAGTAGTGTGCTACACAACCGTTTTTAGTGTCGTCACGCAACGCCACTCCCCACAAACGCAGTAGAAATATAAAAGTAACTGTTCGCAACGAAACTCAACAAGACACTGCGAAGCTATTTGACTCACCCGCGACGAATTCTTCGAAACCTTCAGGACGAAAACCAGCAAAACTTGACTGATTCAGTAATGGGCCAGTAAAAATTTGCCAAATTTCAAGTTGAGCTTTTAAGGTGGAAGTTTTACAGACACCACAGAAAAATGTTTTAGGGTTGAGTCAACAGGTGCTCATATGGTCAAATCTATTTCTAGTTGCGCTGTAGCCCAGCGGAGTAACACTCAGGACGAAATCAAGCTGGTTCATTTTAACTTCTACAATAACTTTCATTCACAAGAATAAATTGATTTTTCAATCAACTTGAGCTTCTGAACGAATTATCCGAGAAGACTAGAATGTCTAACTCTTTGTAGATGTCACAACAAAGGCAGCACATTCTCCTCAGTTATTTTAAGACCCTGAGTGTTGGTCCGGCCGGGGTTTGAACCCGCGGCCCCCCGCTCGGTAGACCGCTCTTGGATTCCCTTACATGGGGCGACGGGACAAGTTTTCTCCATATAAACGGCATCCTTAATAGTCTGTGCAATTTGTATCATAAACGTACTTTTTCCTTCTTCCCTTTTAGGTGTGCTCTTCCCTTTATGGTGACCATTTCGGTTCGACGTGCGGCTGTCGTTGTTGTTGCTGTTTTGGTTTCAGAAACAATGGAATTTGTTGGATAAATACTTAGGCCTTGATTCCACTTGTATCCGTATTTTTTGTCTGAAGAGGGTAAAAAACTCGCCCTCAAGAATTGGTTTTTAGTTGTTTTTGCTCGCCCACACGTATCCCTTTCTGTTTCCAGAACCAACATTTAATTATAGGAATTAGTCCGTCTTTGATCAACGAAGGTGTCTCACACCAAGCACTTTTATGTAACCTCCGAGGACTTGCTTGTGGACCTCCAGTGACCTGTTTCACGCCTCATTTCTCGAGACCAGCGGGAAGAAAAGAAAACCTAAGTCGTATTCTGAAATAAGATCACACATTTTACCCAAAAGAAAAATGTGAACTTTAGATATTTTTTTATATGCCAAAAGGCAGGGTGGTAGAGAAATATTCAAGGTTAATATACTGTGACATCATCGTCTGAATTAAGACTAGGGCTTTTGACGGTTTTTATTGGATGTTCGTTGACGGGAGGCCAATATGCAATTTTTTTCTTTTGCGTTTTGAAAGAACGAGCACGAGTGGACGGGGCCCTTAATGTATTGCCATAGAGCTACTCTTGTTGATAAAAGTGTCTATAAATCTCTTTGTAGATTTAGTTTTGTGTGGGTCGCAAATCTTCTGTCTTTTTAAATTATAAGTAGGCCTGCTGCACTTTTTTTGGAAACAAACCGTGAATCTTATTGGATGGGTTGTTAACAACTGATTAGAAAAGCTGATTGGTTATTTGTTCGTGATGGGCTCTCATGCAGTTGACATCAGCGGGACTTAAAGCGTCCTTGTGAGAAACTCCAGGGAAAATGCACGAGAGGGCTCTCTTTTGAACAACCTCAAGTTCGACTAGCAGTTACTTGGATAACGCATAGTGGAAAAGTGAGCATGCATAAACTAAGTATGATCTAATTTACGCGCAGTAGTACGCCACGAGATCGTCAGAAGGAACCTGCGAACGTTTCAGTAGAACAAGAAAGTTGTGTTTTCGAGATGCTTTCTTTACGAGTTCCTCAATGTGGTCGTTCGAGGTTACGTTAGCATTGATCATAACTCCAAGTAGCTTTGCGTACTGAACTGATCCAGTAAAATTTCCGTCAATACAATTTTGACAAGTCATGTATTAGGTCCAATAGGGCTTGAGCCTTGTTCTGTTGACCTTTGTGTAACTAGAACCACTACGTGGAACTTACCGGGGCCCAGTGGGACACGGGATTGCATAGTTTACCTCTCGCACCCCTCCCCCCTCCTCTGTGGAGGCTAATACTTAGTCTGAATTAACTCATGCAGAAGAAAAGCAACAAAATGCATGAGAAAGGAGGATGTTGTTATAACGGTCTGTGTTATAGTACTGTTTTTACACTGTGATGTCAATAAGTGTGATCTGTATAAGGTTTTTATTTGTTTTTAAGTTTGAGTGAAAGAGCAAAAATCACGGACAGTTTTGGGTTGAATGGTAATGACAAAGTTTGCAAAGAAGTTTGTTACAGAATTATCACAATTTTGCCTACACGGTCTGCATTACACTTCTCATAGAACAAACATGCATGTTCATGGAGAG